AGGATTAGCCTCTGTGCGCTATGCTTGATCTGTCCACTTTCACCCAAGAAACTGACCTGGCAGCAAGTTCTTGACTCAGGTGGGGGGTTTTTGTTAGTGAGACATTCCTCACTCTGGGTAACATCAAACACCTGAAGGGTACTCCCACAGAAACACAATGTAACATCACTTCAAAACAGCACAGTCACACAGTATCAGACAGCTCTGACTACAGGGGTGGGGCACTCACAAGCGGTAAGAGGGACGACTCCCAACCAGGCAAAGGCCACGAGTGTGTAGTGGAACCAGTACCGTATCGCGGTGCCGATACTCGTCACCAGGCCGGCAAAGATGTCTTGGATGGGCAGCCGTGAAGGCATATCTGGGGAGTAAACTGTAGAGGAAAAATACACTTAGCTTCATGCAGCTTTAAAACAGTGTCATTCGTAAACATACAAGAGGCACGGAGAGCTACCTTAACCCTCACATCTACGCTACACTGAGAATTCTTCTGTACAAAAAAGGTAACGTGAACCCAAAAGTTACAATAACGTCCCATTTAACCACAAGTCATGAACATTTTTGTGGACACCAACAAAAACAGCCTCTGAGCAGGACGGTCACCAGACACTCCCACCCTCCACTCGCTCTGTCCTTCACGCACGACCCTGAGCCTCGGGCAAAGCTGCGTGCAAGCAGGTTAACGTTCAAACAGCACGACCTGTTTTCCCAAACTACACAGATGGGGTCAAGCAAACAGGAGCAAAGGTGACAGTGGTGGGCTGTTACCAAGAGCCAAGGCTAAGCACTGGGAAAACAGAGCCACCTGGCCCACAGCAAACAGGCCAACGCTGGCCCCTGCCACGTTCGCCTGAACATCTCAGCCAAACCCTTCAATCCCACATGGTCACTGCAGGCCCCCCACCTCTGTGCAAAGGGCAGCCCACAATACTGAGGAGGGGAAAGGGTCCACCATACTTCAGAAAGCACCTTCTGAAATGGTCCCAGTAAACACCACTGCTTAACGCAGGGCTTTCCCTCCCGGACCCTCAAAGAACATTCCGGAGGGACAAACACCTCTTTCTCAACTCCTCACACAGGGATCATGATACTCAAGGTTTAAAAATCAGTGCCCTATCCTGCATGAGGGCACCGTCACCACACCACTCACAGCTGAGCACTGAGGAGCCCACAATGAACACACAGCAACCTTTCAGAACACACAACATCAGCAAGCCAACAGGTCCACAGACAGACAAAGTAAGGCGTGAGCCGTATCAACAGAGACCTGTGAGCAACAGAGAAAACTGAGGACACAAGGGCCAAGTGAAACCACAGGGGGCCAACAAACCCCACTGGCCCCAAAGGACAAACCCACATCAGCGGGTCCTACCATTCAAGCTGCACAGAGACACTCAAGTCATGCCACACGGGACACCAGGTCACCACCCAGTCACGCCACACAGGGACACTGGTCACCACTCAGTCACACTGCACAGGGACACCCGGTCACCGCTCAGTCACAACGCCCAGAGCTCACAAGAGACACCTGATCACCACTCAGTCAAGCCACACAGGTAGACCTCAGTCACACCACACGGGGACACTTGGTCACTGCTCAGTCACTTTACGATTTAACCAACCTTCACAAAAATACTCAGTCACTGGCCACCAAACCTCCATGAGGATACTCAGTTGCTACTCAAACCAGGTTCACAAAGACACTCACTGACCAGTCAACCAACTTCAGCAAGGGCTCAGTCACTGGCCATTCAAGCTTCAGTAACAGACTCAACTGCCAATCAAGCTTCACGAAGACCCTCAGAAGTCAGTCAGTCAACCTGACCAAGATACGCGGTTACTGTTCAATCAACCTTTACGAAGATACTCATTTACTGCTCGCAGTTTAAGGACTTTTGGGGGCGTAGTGAGTAAGACATCTGGCTGCTAATGAGGAATGTCAGCATTTCAAACCCCCAGCTGCTCCAAGGGAAGATGAGGAGGAATCTACTTCCATAAAGATTTACAACCTTGGAAACCCAACGGGGTCACTATGAGTTGGAATTGACTTGATGGCAGTGGGTTTGGTTTTACTCAGAAGTTTGCCAAAACTCTAAGATCTGGAAAGCTTTCACGTTCTACAGAAAATTAAGGGAT